GCGTGGCCCTCGCGAGTCTGTGTAGTTTGCGAATTAATAAGCTGCCAACCATTGTATTTCAGTCGTGAATCCATGCACCATGTTTGCCTTTCAACGTTTGCACAAATTTTCCTACATGACAATTCCAATGATAATCGCAGTAACATTCCCGAAAAAGTCTAATTGAGCCTACCGGAATCGCCTCAACCTCCGCCGCTATTTTGACATCTGGAGCATGCGCAATACATCGGTAAACGGAACCATCCATTGTGACAATAGGGATAAGAGGAAATCTTTTGTACTTAAGTGCGAAGGTACATAATGTAAAAAGATGACTACATAATGACAAACGACGTATTTTTGCGTTAAGTTCTTTTAGTACTTAAGTGCAAAAGATTTGCACTTAAGTGAAAAAGTTTTTGCCATTATGTGATTTTTTGCCATTATGTCCAGTTTTTTTCACTTAAGTGCAAAAGGTTTTGCACTTAAGTAGTTCATGTATTTTATCCTAAAACGGCCGCCCATAGTTTGGCGGTGTATTCTATCTGCGAAGATTCACCCACGGTCTCCAGAGACTTTGGCTCCATTTTGTGTATTTCGCTGTATTTCCTTTATTGGTTTATGGAAACAAAACAAAACAATAAAAGACACAATACAAAGTAAGTAAGCGACGGAAAGTGTTTCCATATCCCAATGTAAAAACGTCATCTTGATAAAAGAAATAAAACAATAGAACAAGCAAAGTGTTTGTTTTTGTGAACAAAAACATATGTCGCTCCTAATAAGTCAATAGTTTTCCCCCTTTCCTTGCAAAACAAAGACAATATAAATAAATAAAAAAAATCGCATATCTTCAATATCTTAAATACATTTATACTATGTCTATTACTAAATTATATAATACATATATGAATCAATGCAATTGACCGTCCAATCCCATGAGTAGTTCCTGAGATTAGTCCCGGAAACTTTTAATGGCGGAATAATAATATTAATAACTAGAATTGCAATGGAAATTTTGACCAATCAGAGGCGAGGAAATGACATCCATTTTGTTTTTTTACAAAACAAACACCGGAGTTGTGTTTGTAGTGCCATACTATACCTACATAGCAAATTTCATCAAAATTGGACGATATTTTAATTTCGACCAATCAAAAGCCTGCATTTGACCACCGTCAAAAACGAGCGCTGTGACGTTATCATCCCTTTCACCAAGTTTCATTATGTTCCGTCAAAACGAATGTTGTTACTGAATATGATTTCGGCCAATCTGAAGCAGCAGCGGCGGCCATCTCAGAAGGTTGGCGCGGAAAAATAAGAGTCAGATGCACAAATACAAATTGTACTGATTATATCTGCAAAGTATGATAAGAATCGCATTAATAGCTCCTGAGATTAAGCGCGGAAACTTTTACGGCGGAATAATAATAAAATAATAACGATTAGTTAGAAACGGAAGAATTACAATTAGTCAACCGACTTCGTTCGGGGTGACTAAATAAGTAGGAAACGGAACAATAACAATAAGTCACCAGACTTCGTTCGAGGTGACTTAATAATAATAAATAAGAACCAGAACATAACAATGAGTCACCCGACTTCGTTCAGGGTGACTCAATAATAATAAGTAAGAAACGGAACAATAACAATAAGTCCCCCGACTTCATTCGGGGTGACTTAATAATAAGTAAGAAACGAAACAATAACAATAAGTCCCCCGAATTCATTCAGGGTGACTTAATAATAAGTAAGAAACGGAACAATAACAATAAGTCACCCGACTTCATTCGGGGTGACTTAATAATAAGTAAGAAACGGAACAATAACAATAAGTCACCCGAATTCGTTCAGGGTGACTTAATAAGAATAAGTAAGAAACGGAACAATAACAATAAGTCACCCGACTTCGTTCGGGGTGACTGAATAAGAATAAGTAAGAAACGGAACAATAACAAGTCACCCGACTTCGTTCGGGGTGACTTCATAATAATAAGAAACGGGGCAAAAACAACATGTCCACAAACTTTGTTTTCGGGACATAATAACAATCTTATAATATATGCATTATAGTATTAATTTGTGTATTCAACCGTTAATTATTTATGCTGGATATATTTATCATTCCCCGTGCATGACGTGACCGGTTCAGATCGCAAGCTAAGTAATATATAACATAACAGCACATTACTATCGCTTCGCTGTAATGAGACGAATCTTTTGAAATAATTCAGTGGTTAGAATACACAGTTTGGAATTATTGTCAGACACCTTACGATACTATTTGGTAGCTCTTGAGCAGTTAATTAACTGACATCTGACTGAATAATTTGTTACATTCCAGCCGTAATCTGTATATCATCTAGGGACCATTCAAGTATTGTGTTGCTTACAAAACATGTGTACGTACATAATGTACAGATACAAGTCTATTATAGGTGAGGCTAGTACACTATTTATGTACCTGTGGGTAAATGGATTCCTAATAGTACAATTTAAAGATGTACATATGTTCCTTAAATTTTATTACAATATCTTCAATGGACAAAATGTATGACTCTCACAACAAATCTGACCATTGACCCCTGACCTTGACCTAGGATGGAATGACAAGCAGATAAAAGCAGCTATGTACTCCCTGATATTTTTTTCATAAAGATACAAGAGTCATGTATTGTTCAGCTTGATATTTAAGCAATTAAGGCAAACTTTTCTTATTCAAAGTAATATTGCTAATGTATCCCCAGTCTGTTCTCATTCTTTCCGGTATCAAGAATGATACAAAGCAAATCTGGTTGTAATTAGCATATATATGTGTATATAATTATAGAGTTGCCTTTGGTATTTCAATAATTTCCATCAGCATGTTGTGAACCTTGGATTAGGTCATGAACATGAGTATACCTGTACTCATCGGTTCATACAATGCAATTGCATATATGGTTACATGTATTAAGTACGGATTTCAACTCTCTCCATATTATGATCAAGGGAGGGAGTCCCTTGGATTCAGAGAGCCAGACCCTGTACTTATATAGAAAGTATGATTGAGTGTGTCTCTTATGCATGTATGGGTATAGGGTAGGAATCTCGACCAGTTTCATTTTCTACCTTAGGAAATCTGGAAAATGCTGAAATTTAATAAAAAAACAACAACTTTTATCCAATCTTTTTTTTCAATCAGTGCACCGTTTTAAAGTCATTCAAAGTCTGACAAATTTTACAGTTTTTGTTTTTTAAGATATCCTGTATCAGAAAATGCTGTTCCTGGTGGAATTTTTCCACCATAGTATTAGGGAAATGATGAAATGTAAGAAAATCAACATTTATCAAAAATACATTTTTGTTTCAATAAGTGCAAGTTTGCAGTATTGCACTAGCACTGTTTCATTGTGATACAAAGAAACATTCTGAGGAAAGTTTTTCAATTTGCAGTTTTTATAAAATGTGATTTTTTTCAGTATTAGTTTGTATATTGCGACATGTAATCAATACTTGATAAAAATGAAAATTGTGAGATTTCAATTATCTCAGACTAAATATTTATCCGTTGGGTGGAATAGGTGTTAAGTTTGAAGAATATTTTTTTATCTAGGGGAATTTGATTATTTTCCACCTTAGGAATTTGGAAAATGTTGAAATTTGAGAAAATAAACATTTACCAAAATATACTTTTTTTTTTCAATAAGTGCAAATTTGCAGTTTGAAAGTCATACAAAGTGAGAGAAAAAAAACATGTAACTTTTAGAGTAGAAATTTGAAAAATTGTGTTTTTTGTAAAATTTGATTTAAGTTGCGTTATTAGACTTGTAATACTTAATAAAAATGAAAATTGCAAGATTTCAACTAGTTTCAGACTAAATGTTTGTCCGTTAGATGGAATAAGTGTTAAGTTTGAAGATACATATAAGAATATTTTGTTTCTATGGGAATTTGGCTATTTTCCACCATAGGAATAGGGAAATGTTGAAATTCAAGAAAATAAGCATTTTACCAAAATACATTTTGTATTCAATAAGGGCAAATTTGCAGTACTGCACTGTTTTAAAGTCATACAAAGTCAGAGAAAAAAAACATGTAACTTTTAGTATGCGTTTTTTGTAAAATTTGTTTTTTTTTCAGTATTAGTTTGTATATTGCGACTTGTTATACTTGATAAAAATTAGATTGCCAGATTTCAAATAGATTTAGATTAGATATTTGTCCGTTAACTGGAATTTGTGCTTAAGTTGA